ATTCTGTTGGGGCAAGTAATACAAGTGATAGAAAGGAATACAAACCAAAGTTAAACTGGACTGTTGGCAATGAGTTCATTGTATTAGGTCTTGTAACGATTTTACTTTTTGGTTGCATCCACCTTTTGGGCTCTCAAATGATTGCTTCATGTCTTAAGCTTTTGAACTGTTTTCTGTCTACGTTTTTCTTTTTTCTTTCTTGTCTTCCTTTTAATAAGAACTTGAGAGATACCATACCCGTCTTCTTTGTATACCCTCTAAATAAATTTGTTTTATTATAGTTAACTAAGTAATTTTTAAAGCACTAGCAGGTTATGAGTAGATATCCCTTGTGCAGTTGCATTTTCTAGCCAAAGTTTATCTTTTGTTGCATTATTGGCACTTGAATGCATTGAGATATTAAGAGTTTTAACATCTTACTGAGTAGTTTGTAAATTGTGAACTGGTATAATATATATATATATATATATATATATATATGGTACTTGACTTTTTCCCCCTTTTATTAGCTGGTTTTACAATTTGTAATCTTGCTCTCTGTATTCTCTTCTATACAAATGTGTTTCGTTCTGATTATTTTTGTATATATGCCGTTTGAGTGTTTTGAATTGGCTTTGCAGCTGTGGCGATGGCACTCTTGGTGTACCTAGCCAAAGAGGTGATAATTATGAATGCAGGAATATGAAGCTTCTACTCAAGCAACAACAAAGGGTATATTTTCTGTTTTCATATATAGTTTACTGTGTCTTTAATCATGTTTAAATAATTTGCAAGAGTGCCATGAATATTACAAATGATATTTTTTATTCCGAGGAACTGGAGTTGTGCTAGGTATAGTAACTAAATAGACTAATTCTTTGGTCAGTGTCAGCTTTATGTTCAATGCTTGAGAAACTGCGTTCAATGAGTTTTACTTTAAAATATTTTTTTTGGCTCTTTGGACCTTAAAGTAACTGAACAATCAAAGGGATCTATGCATATGCATGTGGTTCTAAGAGAAATGGATATTCTGATTTTTCTTTCACTGTTTCTAGGTTGTTTGGTTTATTTTAAGGTGATTCCTAATATGAATTTTATGTTGATTTAAATTAGAGAGAAAAATAGATGAGTAACTTTTTTCATATTGATGGTTCCATTAAAGGCTATGTTTGGAACAAGTGAACAATAATTTCTTTTATTTGTGGAAAAATAAGGATAATTTGTTTACAAACGAGTTTTTATGTTTGAAGTAAGTCATTTTGAAATTTTGTGCGATAATCCAGAATCGTCGCACATTGTAGAGAAGACAAAAGATGTTTGAAGGTTTTTTTCACTCCAAACTATCAAGATCATTTCAAACTTTCTTTAGAGTTAGTGGGGTTGGAAAGCCATTTGCTCAACTCCGTGACATTTGTTTCAAAATTTGATATCTATAGTCAAGGGTAATGCTATATTAAAAAATATTGAGGTACGAATATTTCCACATCTTGTGGAATTTTGTTCTGTAGAGCTGTCAGCTTGCAATTTCTTTTGTTCGTTTGTTAGAAGTACCGAAAGATATCATTCTGATTTTTCATGTTTTTGCCTGCTCACTTTTGTTCATGTGTCTCCCCCATTCCTTCACTTTTTCTATGGCAGTGTTAGGAAGAAATGAACAGTGAATTTCATTTCATTTATGAATGAATTTTTCTGGTAAGGATTTGGAACAGATTTTGAATAATGAATTTATTTTACGAATAATTTAATGTTTGATAATCGTAAAATTTTGTAGAATTTAATTGAACTACATTTTTTGAGAAAAGGCTATGGAAGACATTTTAAACTTCTTTCTCCAAAATTCCAAGACTATTGAAACTCCATAAAATTGGATAAAATTGGATAAAATTTGGAAATCATTTGTTTAATTCTAAGTTGAATGCATTTCAAATGAATTCCATTGATTAACTATTACTTAACTTAATGGTTGGTATGTCCTTTCCTCAATAAGAAGTTATGGATTTGAGTCAGATTGTGCTCTTGGGTATGGACTTATTTGGAGATTATATATGTGGTATTATGATTGATGTCTGTATATTACCTGATTGATGAATGTATGCATTATCTATTTAATTTTTTTTTCATAATTTGTAATGATTCTAAAAATTGTATAGAATTGCCAATGAACTCCACCTTTTTTTTTCATTTGTTCCAATCAAAGTCTACGTATCATGATGCTTCCTCGTCTTATATTGACTTCTTTGGAAGATGACAATTTGAGAACTGAATTTTTTGAAATATTTGTTACTGATGTGAGCTTGTTTCCCATATATATGCCAGGTTTTACTTGGAAGATCTGATGTTTCTGGCTGGGGAGCTTTTTTGAAGGTAATAAATGAATTGATATAACAAATAGGGTGACACATCCATGAACTTTTTTTATTGCTTAGTTTCCTCTGCTCATGCATAACTATTAGCTGGTCAACAGAATAGTGTTGGCAAGCATGAATACCTTGGTGAGTACACGGGAGAGCTAATTTCACATCGGGAAGCTGACAAGCGAGGGAAGATTTATGACCGTGAAAATTCATCATTTCTTTTCAATCTAAATGATCAGGCATGCCAATTTTGCCGTTCTTGTTTGTTGTAAAAATTTAGACTGCTGTTCTGTTTACTTCCTGCTAAATGGACCTTGGTTCTATTCTATGCAGTTTGTGCTTGATGCTTATCGGAAGGGGGACAAATTGAAGTTTGCCAATCATTCTCCAGATCCTAATTGCTATGCAAAGGTATTTTGATTGGATTTGCTATCTGCTTCCAAACTAACTGCATCTTGCCAGCTTCTGACATTTGGTGGCAGGTCATTATGGTTGCAGGGGATCACCGGGTGGGCATCTTTGCCAAAGAGCGGATTATGGCAGGAGAGGAACTATTCTATGACTATCGTTATGAGCCAGACCGGGCTCCTGCTTGGGCTAGGAAACCTGAGGCGTCTGGGTCCAAAAAAGAGGACGGTGCTCCTTCAAGTGGCCGTGCTAAGAAGCTAGCCTAGTATGAGCATTTATTAAAAATACTAAATTCTTTTGTTTTCTCGTTTTCTTGGCATTCTTTTACATTAGAGGTAGAGGCATCATCATATAGACATCAGGTGAAGGGTTATTCTCTTACCATTTAGTTGTTGGAGAGGTCATTGTCATCTCCATTGGTAACGTAGGTCATTTTGGGTTCAATTCATATTATCCCTGAGCTAACCACACAGTAAAGTTGGAAAATGGAAAAACTCAAGCGTAGCCCGAATACCATTCGACACATGAAACAAGTAAAAGAAAGTTGAGGGGTGGAAGTGAACTTCAATTTTTTTTTTTTTTTTTTTCCCTTCTCCTTTGGCCTTTTCTATGGAGGTTGGCATGGGGACTTGTGCCATTGTATCTGCAGCAAAAGAACATTCTGCTCAAGCTTAAAAACGGAGCAAGAATGTTTTGGTGCTTTCATTATTAATGCAGATATGTTGATTTATACTTTTAGATCTCAGGAAGGAAATCGATATTAATGTTTTTCGATAGTGATTTTTTTCCCTTTCATAAGCTGTTTGGTTCCTTTGATCAAGTGGCATATTAAGGTAGTGGAATGATACCTCCCCAAAATATTACAACATGTTATGTGCTTGATTCTCAGTAGTAATTTTTTTTTTTTTAAAATTTTTTATTGTAATTATTCAAGATCCTGCAGTAATTTATGATTATTTAAGAAGGTAACCAAAATAATCAAGCTACCGAGCCCAAGTTGGTGGGAACTACAGAGTGATAATACTAATTCCTCTTAACATTATATGCTTGGCGTGGGATATATTTGGGAATTAATCCAAAGCGTAGGCGTTCCTTTCAGGTATATACTTAAACCTTCCAGCTTGGCTTAAAACCAGATGGATGGATTCACGTGAGACTCCCGAGTATTTTCCTACCCACTCTGCACGACATCATTTGAAATTCCTACCTACTGGCCAAATTTATGTCTCTAAATAAAACATATATATTAATTAAAAATAATAATTAAATAAAATAAGTAAATATTTTGATTAGCTTTTCTTCTCTTTTCTTTTTTTGTTTCTTTAAGTAAAAAAAAAAATTCACAGATAGTTACAATTTTTACTACTAAAGGCACCGCGGTAGGCAAATCTGATACAAGAGAACTCGGCAAATTTCAAAAGCTTTATATATACGGATTTATATACCGATTTAGCCAAGGCAAAATATTTGACATTGGCAAGGCCGGTCCAATAATTATAATAATTCTCTTTAATTTTTTTATTTTAATTTTTATGAAGAATAAGAGTGGAAACCACCTTTGCAAGACTTTAAAGACGGGCATTATATAAGGATTCAGAGATTTCTATGCGTTGGTTAACAATAATTATAATGGTTTGGTAAACTACCCGACGAGTCAATGTTATGCCGCAATTGAACGACGTCGTGTAGCAGCTTCCCAACTCGGCATGCAAAATTAAAGACGAACTTGAGAAAAAAGTGTTCCCTCAAAAAAAAAAAAGAGAAAAACTAAAGGTGATTAAAGCCCGCGTTTAGTGTCCGAAAAAAAAAAGATTAATTCTTTCCTTTGCTTTTTTACATGCCGTACCGAGTACCGGCACTGTCTTAGCTTCTCTCTCTCTCTCTCTCTCTCTGTGTGCCCACCTCTGGCTTCTCGAGCTCTGCATTAGCGGTGCTGAGCAAGCCATGTACGCGTGTTTCGCGGATCATCGTAGCTTATGCAGAGCCCGTGGAACATTTCTGTTCCTGTTTTTGTTACTTTCCTCTTTCTTCTTCGGCACTGGCACTTCTTGCTCGAACGGCAACTGCCAGGTTCTTCTTCTTCTCCTCCGTTTCTCTATCACTATTCTTGATCTGTGTAATTTCGTCGTAATTTTGTAAATTTGAACAGAATGTCAAATAATTCACAGGTATTGGATTCCTGCTCATTGGTCACAGACTGTGGGGCAGGACTTTACTGTGGAAACTGCCCTGCTTTAGGCAAGACTCAACCCGTCTGCACCAGAGGCCAAGCTACTATACCCACTTCAATTGTGAGCTTTCTTCATCTTCTTCTTTGTGCTTCTGTTTCCGGGCTTGTTCGATTTTTGTAGGATCGATGGTGTTGGTTTTAGCTGTTTTCTGCTCGAATTTCGGTAGTTGTTTTCCCTTTTCAGTCTTCTGCTTGTGTGATGATGGCAATGTATTTTTTTTTTTTTGCAATTATGGTTTATAGATCGGCGGGCTGCCTTTCAACAAGTATACATGGTTGGTGACACATAATTCGTTCAGCATCGTGGATGCACCATCTTTGCCGAATGTTCAAAGACTAACGTTTTATAATCAGGAAGATACTGTTAGCAATCAGTTGGGGGTATGTGTTTCCCCTCTTAGTTAAGTTCCGACGTTGTGTTTGGTACCTGAAAATCTAGAGGAAACCGTAAGGAAATTTGCATTTCCTGCTTTTTGTTTTTAGTTTTTCTGTTCTGGGTTATATGAAATATGAAGCTGCCAGTGATGTTTACATGAAGAATACTAAAATTTGGTACTGTGTTCTTGAGCAATCAACCAACTTCTTTTTAATGGACGTTGTGCAGAATGGGGTGAGGGCTTTGATGTTGGACGTGTACGATTTTAACAATGACATCTGGCTCTGTCATTCCTTTCGGGGGCAATGCTTCAACTTCACTGCCTTTGTAAATTCACTCTTCATTATATTAATTTATCATTGTGTCCTCTCTCTCTCTCTCTCTCTCTCTCTCTGTCTATATATGTGTATTCCCACATATAAGTGTGTATTGTTTTTCCCGTGAATGTAATGTGTTGGTTTGCTAACAGCAACCTGCAATTAACACGTTAAGGGAAGTGGAGGCATTCTTGAGGGCGAACCCTACAGAGATTGTTACCATTATACTTGAGGACTACGTGCATACGCCAAAAGGTTTGTCAAATTTGTTCATAAGTGCTGGTCTGGACAAGTACTGGTTTCCTGTGTCGAAAATGCCCAAAAAGGGTGAAGATTGGCCCACTGTAACCGAGATGGTTCAAGAGAATCACCGTCTTGTCGTTTTTACTTCCGTTGCCTCAAAGGAAGCCGAGGAAGGAATTGCATATCAGTGGAAGTACATGGTAGAAAATGACCGTAAGTGCTAAGCAATGTATTTGTGTTTGCATATTGCAAATGCATTGTTTTGTCCTCTTAACAACCTTGTTAATGTGTTTGGTTTCAGCTGGGGATCCTGGAGTGAGACAAGGGTTGTGTCCCAACAGAAAAGAATCAAGACCTCTTACTTCCAGAAGTGCTTCTCTTTTCCTGATGAATTACTTCCCGACATATCCAGTTGAAGATGAAGCTTGCAAAGAGCACTCTACAGCGCTTTCTGAGATGCTTGGTACCTGTTATAAAGCAGCTGGGAATGTTATGCCTAATTTTTTGGCAGTCAACTTTTACATGGTATCAAACTTAGGTTTTACTGTGAGAGTAACTGCATTGAGATATCGAGTGAAGCATCCTAACTTGTTGGAATATAATGCAGAGAAGTGACGGAGGTGGTGTTTTTGATGCTTTGGATAGAATGAATGGTCAAGCATTGTGCGGCTGTAGTACTATTGCTGCCTGCCAGGTTTGTTGAAGTTATTTACTTTTGACGCTGGACCTTTTGTTGCATATAGTCCTTAATAGACAATTTAAAGTATAGTCCAGATCCATATTTTTATTGGTTTGTCAGTAAAATTTACTTTATGTCTTGGAAGAATGTGGACCTTTGTTTCATTTTTAATTTTCATAGCTGATAGTTTGGATAATGCATAAATATGTCCGTAGAAGTCTTGCTGAAAACTGTGTTTTTCAAAGTACTTTATTAACTGGATTTTGCAGGTTGGAGCACCATTTGGTTCTTGCAAGAATGTCACTGTGCCCGATAGAAGTCCCATGACTAATGCTGCTGGAAGCTTTTCTGGATCTGTCCAGTTCTCTAAATCTGCTTCAGCTCTCCATTCTCTGAATCTCTTCACCTCCTGCTTGTTACTTTTTCTACCGATAATGTTTTTATTGCCACTACAATGGCAATTATTTGGATAGAAGATTAGTACCTCAAGGAGGGGCTTATAATTTGTTAGTGTGTAAAATTTTCGTGTCGGAACTAGTATAACAAATCCCTGTCTTATCGAGTGGAAGATTAAGGAATTGTAGTCAGATAAGAGCCGTAGAGTGGAATTCTCGAGATTCTTGCATTGAGGCAAGGAAAGTGTTAGATAGGAAGATTGGCCAGGAGAGACCTGAAATGTACCACAGCAGGTCAGCTATTCAATATGCTTATTTAATGAATTTCTGATATAAAAAGTTGAATAACCATAAATTCTTATGTTTGCTCTTTTCAGAATTCACTAATCCTCCAGTTCTCCCATTCCATAATATACCACGAAAGGGTTTTTCTTATTCCATAGAAGGGAAAACATTGGTTGGCAGACTGTTTAGACTTTAGAACCAGAACCAGTCTGCTACAGTTTGACAGCCTTGTTCCTTCCCATAATAAATTAGAAGGTGCAGGAAGATTTAACTTTAGAGATCATGATAATAGGATAACAATGAAGGTGGTGGCTAGAATCTCGGGACGAGGCCCTTTTAAAGGGTGTAACATTTCATGGAATTCACTATTAGATCTTTTGATTTGAAGAACCGGATTTGGAAATAGACGGAGACATACATTTGGCTTTACAGATTAGTCAATGTCATGTTACACCGACTAAATTAAAGTTCGTTTCAAGAGTAAACCGGCATTCATTAGGTTTATTCTCATTTGAGAGAAAGGTCTTAGAACTGATTAGCTATTCTTACTGTAAACAACGGCTTCCATAAGATCTTGTTGCCTCTCGTACACTTTGAATTAGACAAATTATTTGTTCCTACCGCATGTCATATAAACTAAACTATGCTGAGAAAGTAAGGGGAACCTCAAGAATTTTCTTTCTCTTTTTTCCTCTACATTTTTCTCATAAGATTTTTACTCTGGCTTCTTTGATTCTTTTTTTTTTTTTTTTCTCTGGGGGTTCAAGCATCTATTTTCTCTTCCTAGATTCTCCTATCTTAATTTATTAATTTTTAAACAAAAAACTACTAGTTATAATGATCTTTTCTTGATGGGTCGAGGCCTTCTTCACTAACTTTTTCTTTCTATTGTTTCATTGCTGAAGAGAATCAATCCGATAGGTCATACCAGATGGATGTTAGAGTAGTTAACCTGCATTTTAAAACAAAATAATCCTCGAGTGTTTTTCAGATTCATTCTACTTGGCTGGGAAAGTTAATCTTCATCTACCAGACCTGTATTACCCTCAGATAATATCATCAGACACCATAATGAACCTTCAGCTAGAATCAAATACTACAATAGCTATTTGATAATGACAGGGGACAAAAGTTAGAGATATGTTCATGTGTGATATAGAGATGTAAAATATGTTATTACATAGATTTCTATTGACATTTCTTTAGTTTCTTTTGTTTTCTATGTCTTGCTAGGTTCCCATTGCAGCATAATGCCGAGTACGGCACCTCAGGATGGATATTCAGTTTTCCCTGTCATACTTATTATCTTCAACATTCTGAACCATTTTTAGAATATACTGAAACTGCTGTGAAGAGATTCCTATCAGGGATTGTATATTAAGAAAATGGAAACCCGTGTCTCATATGAATTGCTTTCTCTTTTCTTTTTTCTTCTTACTTGAAAAGACACTGCCACAATTGAAGGTAAAAAAAATTATAAAAGTTCTAAGAAGCCTAAATTACAATATTTTTTTTTGATTTGATAATTAATAAGAAAATTTGTAACTCCAATTATATATATATATATATATATATTGGAAATACAATCACGTATCATATTATAATAAACAGAAAAATTATTTGTTTCTCTACGAGATAAAGTCTTAATTATGTATAAAGTCATTCAAACCTTACATTCTATTATCTAATTATCAAACATGTATGTATAAAAGATTGAATTGAATCAATCTACCCAAGAAAAGTCTTGTCTTTTACTTGTCTAATTTGCCATTAAAAGTCTCTGTGTCTCAAGGAAATTAACAATATCTTAAGAAAGGAAAAGAAGAAGCAAAAGAATCCCAGGAAATTTCAGATGGTAAAAGACTGCAATGAAATGCTTTATACATAATTTTCTTTCCTCCCCTTCAAAAAAAAAAGAAAAAACATGAACAGACACTATACAGAATCTTCATATTGGTTTGGTGAAAGAATATGATCAATCCTTCAACTTTCTTATATACAAATTCGACTGAGTAGGAATAATGTAAAATGGGAGATGCGATAGTAAGAAAGCAATTGCCTTCAGTTCAATTACTCATCAAATAAATTAATGATGATGGTGATGGAAACTCGAAAAGAATAATACCCCAAGCAAGGGAAAAGCAATCACTGCCATTGCACCGCAGGCGACATAGAAGAAGCACTTGCAACGTTTAACAGCAAGCCTGCAGGTTTTATCTGAAGAGCGGGGCTAACAGTAAGCAAGGCTATGAAGCAGCCTACTGGAACTCTTGTACCCCATACATTGATCGACTCTAGTTTACGACATTTATCTACGAGAACCATTAGCCCAGCCTCTGATACATGACGGCAGCTCCACAGGACAATACTCTTTTGCACAACGAAAGAAGAGCCAGAAACTGGATGTTAGTGATTGATGAATAAAACTCCTAGTCAATTCATCAATGGACTAATGGCAAGGATAAGCTTTAAGTCACCTTTAAACTTGGACAGCTTTTTGCAATGGCAAATAATGATATGTCTGTGATGAATGTACCGCCAATATTTAGGTGTTGCAAAGAAGTAGCACTAGACATCTGCGGAGAGAAGGCATGGTGAAAGCTAGATCAAAGTTTTTGGATCTTGAGGATGAAAGATTTAAAATCCATGTATATATGTATGACATCTATATATCGAGATCTGATGTGTAATCTTTAACCTAAATGTTTAGCATTCCAAGTTCCTTATGTTTCTAGTTTTCGGTACTCTCTTGTTATCTTGTTCATAGTATAAACAACTAATACTGATTGAGATACAGACAGAATTGATGAGTTCAAAAAAACAAGCTTGATTTACCAGATGAACAACACCATAATCTGTAATTGCCGTCATACCCCACAGAGAGATCAACGTGAGGTTGCTGATACATTTTGCAAAAGCTATTTGGCAGAGTCCCCTGTCAGTAATCTGACAACCCCACCGGCTTCTTGAACTGAAAATGCAGTATGATTAATCAAAACAAAAAACCAGTTAATCTCAGTAGTTGCCTTATGAACAAAGCTATATACGCACAAACATCAGAAAAGTTTTTCCAATATATCCACATTTTAGAGAAAATATCACAAATTTAATAATATATATAAGATTTAAATATTTTACAGACTTTGATGATAGGATTCTCCAATATCTATTCTGCAAAATCCATAACCAGATTTGTCAACACTATACTATTTTATCTAAATTTGATGGCTCTGGTTTCTCATCCAATTTATCTACCTCTCGGACCCAAAATCCCGGAACCCGTTTCTCCAATTTCCAAATGAAGTCAAAGCCAAGACAATTACCCAAAAACAAAGAAAGAAAAAAAAAAAGGAAACAGAGAGTTCTCCAGAAAGAATGCATGTAGTTTAATGAGTTTTTTTTTTTTTTTTTTTATCAATCAACAAACACAGATTATAGAAACAGATACAGACAGAGAGAGTACATGTCGAGTTCTTTAAGGTTGTAAGCTAAGCGTACGACGCGGGCGGTGGAATTATCGTCCATCTTCCAACCAGCAAAGCTCAGACTCTCTCTCCTCGCCAGCGATTGCTTCACCCCTCTATTCCATTTCCTGCACACGCCGCTCGCCCTACGGTTCATTTTTTTTAATAAAAATAATTAAATTCAATTCCGACAAAATACGACCACCAAAATTCAAACATAAAATCCTTATCTCTTATTACAACATAATTAACAGAAAAGCAAACAGAGAGGTCGTGAATTTGATGAAGATTTATGCTTACTGTGCTAAATCAGTGAATGAAGTGATCAACGCGAAGATATGAGCCAATAGGTCTAACGGCAACCGATCAATCTCCGCCTCCTCTTCCATAATCTTCAAAATTCACAGCAAGAAACACCGGAGATTATCGAAGAATTAATAACTTAATGTTTGGGTTTCTTTGAGCGCGTAGAATTTATAAAGTTGCAGCAGAGGGGGGGAAAGGTCGAGGATGTCGTCATCGTTTTGTCATGATTTCCCCATTTTAACGCTATTAATTTAAATGTGTTTGAAAATTCAGTGCCTACATTAGTTTAATTGGTTAATTAATTGCTTAATTAAATAATTAGTGGGGCCCTTTCCGTAGTTATTACATCCTAATCTGGATAACTTGATTTATTTTCGAAAACGTCATGCCATGTGTACTTTTCGTGAATTAAACGACGTTAAAAGCATCTGACGTGGAAGTTTGACATCCTAATAATCTTTTTTTTTTTTTAAAATTTTATTGTATTAATATTCTGTTTGCTTTGATTAAAAATATATTAAATTTATTTTACATGTATAAAAAATAAGATTAATTATATAGTTCCAAAAAAAATTCTGATACTCTATTCTAAAAAATTAAGAACTCCCAAAACACCGATAATTTTATAATTAATCACGAGACTAAATTTAATAGAACTACGAAAATATTTAACAATAACACACAAATACTTCATGCAAGAACACAAGAATTTGATTCATAGCAATTCCAAAGAAGTTTATTTGTACTACTATACACTGTACCTCACAATTTTAAAAATTTACAGGTACAGACAGAGCCTTACATCAGCTTGCCCGTATTGAGATGTCCTCGACCATCCACAGCAAATTGGCCATAGTAATTTTCAACTCTTCGTCTAGAGCTTGAACTAGCACTTGGAAAGAATTGACCAGAATCATGTGTGGGTGCTTTTCTTTTGCAACTTACACGCTTACCACCCTCCCCAGTATTGATGTCTTCCAGCACGTAAGTTGACAACCCAGAGGAAATTTCAAGTGGGCTAAAAGAATTTATGGCAGAACTTGAACCAGCTGAATAAAAGGGATATAGGGGAAGTCCTAACCCCGTATCATGATTTTGACCATTCCCTCCTTCATAAGTTACGTACTGGGGGACATTGTCTGCGCCAACTACTCCTGGGAAAGCAAAGTATCCATTTGTCAAATAATTATTATCAAAGCTCGTAACGGTACTTCTTCTAGGTTGGTCTTCTTCGGGCGTTTGCCTTATTAATTCTAGATCATCAAAGGGAAGTTCGGAATCATCTGCATTGAGCAACCACTGAAAGCTGAAAGGAATTTGATTGTTCATAACAGGATTGGAGGATTCCCCTATAGAGAATGGAGTAGTCTGTGGATTGTTACTTGGGGCAATAAGATACATATTTTGCCGGGTCAATGGAATATTGTTAATGGCATACAACCAATCGGTAAACAAATAGTTTCTTTGGAGATAACTGTGCGGGCTGCCTTGATTTTGCATGATGGAAAAATTGCACTCCTCTCAACAACCAATAGTCAGCAGCAGTTCCTTCTGCAATATGGTTTCTCTACAATCTTGAAAGCAACATTAGAATTAGTAG